CAGTACTAGAATTAGAATGAGGACCATGTTGGGGTCTTCTGCTGGAACCACTTATACTTGACTGATATATGTTATAGTCGGCAGGGCTGTCTGGTCCCAGTGGTGGCCTTTCTTTGGGATAGTTTTCTGTGTAGTAGTGATGGCTATTCCCTTGCTACTATCACTTATTACCTGCCTGACAGCATCATTGACCATGATTCTTAGGCTGTTGGCAGATATTTCAGAATATACAATATAATGTTTGATCATAATGTAAAATTATTACTTCAAGTCAATTATACATTTCTCTCTTTGCTATGCTTTCTGGGTGTGCTTGTAGGTTAACTCTTTCACCTTTGCTAATTTTAATGTTTTTATAATGCGTTTTGCTAGTGATTTAGCCATGATAAGAACGGTGCCAGTGCAGGAGCCATTTTGTTAAATTCAAATTTCATTCAATCTGGCTGCCATATTGTGCCCAGGGCACCTCCTGTTTTACTGTGATCGACGGAAGTGATTTCATGACTGAGTGAATGGTTTTATCGTGCACCTTCTTGTTTAAGGCACGTTATATCATACCGGTGAATATGTTATTGTTCATAGTAACTGTGACAACAGGGGAAATGTCCTTCGAGTCATAGGCTTTTATTCAATCACAATTGATAAGTGTTATGTTTTCGTGAAAGGGGAACATTACCCTTTCCCACCAAATAAGCCTATGCATATTTATTGCAGCAACCCTTACATTACTCCTTGTGTGAAAAATTAGCCAGTTTTGATGCAAAAAACCTGAGGTTTAGCTGGTAAAAACTCAGCTCTGCCCAATTGAGTTGGTAGTAATTTTATAGACCAGTTGGAGCTAAGTAGATGGTGTGGCTCATAGTCAGACCGACTTGATTTTCAGACACTCATATCGTCTTGTATGTAGATCTTTCCAATATCTTTTGTTATAAAAATAATCTTTTAGGTTTCATAGCTTGGGAAACAAAATTAAAAGTTCTCTTGTTCTTGGTTGCTGCGGGGTAGCAATTTCAAAAAGTTTTTTGTCCTGCTCATGATCAGACATGTTTAATATATAATCAGACATCTTTTCTCATACTTTTTTCCAAAAGCAAACAGTGGTCTTTTGTTGTTTAATAATAAAGGACTATTCATTGTGTAACTGTCGTGCAAATTTGAAATGAAACTTTACTGTGATCTTGGAGATATTGCAATCTGATGACTGCAACCTGAAATATGGCAATGATCAGACAAAATTGAGGGTGTGGCTATTTGTCACGTGCGCACGTGCCGGTCTCACAAGGAAGAATGGAGTGTGAATTAGTGTGTTTACTTGCTTATCTGCTCACTTATCTGTGTTTACTTGTTCTGGTCTGTGTTGAAAATGCAAAGTTTATTCTAGAAAAAACGGAACCCAAGTGTATGTTCACAACCAAAATGGTGCACTCAAAGGATCATTCCACTTCAGGACGTCCCACATCATTAAAATCCTGGTCCAATTGTAGGATGTCCAAGGCCTTGCAGGCAGTTAGCATGGGCTCCACAGTAAGAAGAGCAGCTGAGAACTATGGTGTGCCACAATCGTCACTTCATGATTGGATTCATGACAGTCATTCATGGAACAAAGAGTGGACCTAGGAAATATTTCACCTTGATGGAAGAGGAGCAGTTGGTATCACATTTTTAAAATTGCTCTTCTATTGGATATGGCAAGTCATAGTCTGGGTCCCAGCCCATTCGCTTTGAGAGGAAGGGTGTGGTATCACTAGCATCACTCACTCGTTCTGGTGGAATGCAGAAATGACTTATTATGACAATGTACTGGAGTAGAATTATTATTATTCATAGTGTTGTTTATTAGTAATAACAACAACAATAATAATGAATACTAATAAGTGTTAAGTGACACGTGTAGCCTTGATGGAGTCTTCTTCCAACTGTCTTGGCTGTGGAAGCTCTAATGTACCAGCGTATAATCGCCGTAAACTATCAAGTGAAGTTAGTGGAGCTGTTAAAGATGCTTGGAAGTCTGCTTTGGTCGATGAATATGGTGATTATATTTCTGTAGCTGCTGGGGATGATGATACAATAATTGCCGTACTGAAAGAGAGTGGTGGATATAAGTGTCGTCCCTGTTTCACTACTTTTGAACGTTTTCACAGCTTAAAATGTAGAATCAGTGATTCTATCAAAGGTCTAGATGACAAGATAACTGCTGTGCCATTTATAAGACATAACACGATGTTACGAAGAATTGTAAATTTAATATCCTCAGTAGTACATGAATGACTGAATACTTATTATATAGGATCATTTTTCAGAAGGCAACAAT